AATGTGTTAATTATTGAAACTGTCCTACCAATTTGATTTGAAACTGTCTCATTGCTATTTGTTTCTCAATGAAATTATGGGAAAAAAAGATGAAATTTTAATATTTTATCATTATTATTCATCACATTATTTGTGATAAAGACTTTCATCAGTATACATGTGAAACAACAGAAAAACAAATGACACTATTTTGATAAAAAGAATGGTTATCTTTGAGGTAAAGGAAAGAGGTAAGAAATAGGACGGAAGGTATGGTATTTTCAATAGCTCACCAAGATGCACATTTGTAATTGTGTGCACTTTTCCGTACTTGTGTCACACTTTAATAAAAAGGGTTCATTTAAAAAGGCAAAACAACAACAACAACAACAACAACAACAAAAAACCATAAGGAGAAATGTTGATATCACCAATAGGGCTCGCTAAGTAAGTTTTATTTGTTAATACTAGCAGTGGCCCTTACAACTAAGAACAGGCTCCCGGTGATTACATCGATATCGTCCAGTGTGCGTGTTAACAGGGCCAGTTTCTAGTGGAATTTTCCACTTAGGAGTGATCAGGTCTGATTTCAGCCCACAGGAGATGCTTTTGCAGGGAACTTCCTGTTTGCTGCTTCCATTGACTGGAGGAGACAGCTTCCCTGTACCTTTCCCCAAACCCTGGGGAATACCTCTGGTACTTCTATAAGTGAGTTTGGCTAATTTGATCCCTATATTCAAATACCTTTTCAGATTAGAGGATTCATCTGTGAAATACACTCAAGAAGGCTGAAATTCACCAGTTTAGTCTATTAGAGAAATAAGACAAGTGAATCAAATAGGATTAGCCCTCCCAGTGATTTAACTAGGTATTTCTCACAAATAATAAAGAACAAATTCCTTTCATTCTGTTGAGGGTAAACAGAATCAGGAAGGTTCAAGGTCTCTATTGGGAAGTAGCAGCTCCTTCTGGATGCCAGTTCTGAACAAAATGACAGTCTGGATTTCTTTTGTTGAGGGTGCTAAACACAGCCTTTCCATCAAAAGACAGTAATTCCTTGTTTAAGTGAAATCTTACACTGGATTATCAAGCATTTGTCTAGATGTTTTAAAGTAGCCACATAAATTTGCCTCCACTATTTGCCAATCCTGTCATTTTGGAATGAAGTCTTCACTCACCACCTGGATGAATCATAAGAGGCATTCTTACAACCTAAGGAATTAAAAATGAAGTTACAAATTGGGATTGTTTTAGAGGGTCAATCTCAGTCTTCTTTGGCAAAATTCTTTCCCCATATTTGTAAGTGTAATCAGTCTACCTGTAACCAAATGCTATCTGTTAAAACAACTTAGTGGTCTTTACCACTTCCCACAGCACAGGGTCATTTCTTGATCTTGTCACAGTTTGGGACAGTTCAGCTGAGAAGGCTGGGTGGCAAAGTCCTCTTTCTATACAGTGACTTGGCAACCAAGCACCTTCTGGGCTCTGCTGCAGTCTGGGGTTTATTGTAGTCCCGACTCCTCTGCACCTGGGTACAAGCAGGAGAAAAGGAGCGGTCAGTTGTGTGGGCTGCTATGGCCAGGCCTGGGGCTCTCTTCCCTGGCACCCACATTCTGTGAGTTGGCACTCAGCTATCAGCAGGGGTCCTGCAGTCCCTGTGCCCAGGCGGAAAAGGGAGAGGAGTTGCCAAATGTGTGTCTTTGCCTGGGCTACCTCAGGACTCTCAGATGATAGAAACTATATTTTGCCAACATGAAGATATTGCAAATTTCCTCAGGGGTCTTGGTCCATGGAAAGGATGTAGATCATAGTGGTAGAAAGCATGATTTTTATTTTATTTATTTTTTAAATTTTTTATATTTTATTGAGAAAGAAGTAGCAGTGAGACAGTTTCAAAACAGGTTAGTAGGACAGTTACAATAATTAATACATTGCATATTGTTGTCTTTGTAGTAGTTATAGTACAAGATGCAGGTATGATATCTTGTCTAAACACTACTAGTTCAAACTTTCTTCTCATTGAGCTAAGAGAAAGTAGCTGTATATCTGTTATTTTGTACCCACACACACACACACACACACACACATATGTAATTTTTTCACTACATAATGGGCCTTCATCTATACCTCTTTTTTATTTACTTTTGTCAGAGATGGGTATTCCATTGCCATTCATATATTGTAGGTGCATGAATTCAGCAAACTAATCCAATATGGTGCAGTAGTCTGTAACAGTAGTGGGTATTTTCATTTTATGTATTTGGTACAGGGTCTCACTATGCAGCTTGAACTCGTAGTGATCCTCCTGTTTTCAGCCTCCCCACCGCTGGGATTAAAGGCGTGTGCCACCATGCCTGGACTCCCTGCCTGTCTCAGGAAGCCGTGGGGGCAGGGCCCGTGTGGCATGTGGGACCAGCGATCGAACCCTGGTCCCTGCACTTGACCAAGCAAGTGCTTAGTCTGCTGAGCTATCTTCTCGGTCCTAGAGCATGATTTTAAAACAAACTCCTGGAGTCCAAATTGAAGCTCTACCACTTGCTTCATTTAGTCATTCAGTAAACATTTTTTCAGCTGAACTGAAAAAAAAAAGTTCTCTATCTGATCTCTTCATATTCAAAATAAAACACACCAAAGAAAAAATTATGATCTACATCCTTTCCATGGACAAGACCCCCTTGTGTTGATGCTGAGCAAGAAGCTTAGTCCCTATGTGTCAGTTTTCTTATCTGTAAACTAGACAATAATAGAACAGAAGAGTCCATGTCAGAACCAAATGACTTACTATGACTACATATGTAAAAGATTGGTTGGAAGAAAATAAATAGGTTGGTTAAATGAAAACAAAATGAGACTAACAACAAAGATACCTAATTTTTTCTTTGGTGTGTTTTATTTTGAATATGAAGAGATCAGATAGAGAACTTTTTTTTTTCAGTTCAGCTGAAAAAATGTTTACTGAATGACTATAATCTGTAATATGCCAGTATGACCATAAACTACATATACTTTTCATCGATTCAAAAGAAACAGTACATTTTCCTCACAAAACTGTCTTTTATACTCCGTGACTCTTAATCCACAGTCACACTGGCATCATGATTTTGTCACTTTACAGATCTGTAGCTTCCTGAGTCCCTCCAGGTAAAGAATGGAAAGTGGCATTCATTAAGTGTCCAGAGGGCTGCTGCTTCTCCCCATCCATGTCTTCTGGGTCCTGACAATGCTAGTCCCCTAGTGGACGTCGTACCTGTCCCCTTGGTAACCAATTTGTATCCACTTTATTTGTGCTAGCATATGGCCTCTTCAGGCTATGATTCACAGTTTAGAATAGCTTGACTTTTTTTAACAACACATGAGGGCAACTCAAGGAACTTTATAGGAAGTCCTGCCTGGAGGAGCCACCTGACACTGCTCTTTCTCTTACAGCTGGATGATTGTACCCTGCAGCTCTCGCACAATGGCACCTACTTGGACCTGGAGGCCACCCTAGCAGAGCAGCGGGATGAGTTGGAAGGCTTCCAGGATGACGCTGGGTAAGGCTCGCCATTGTCCCTGCTGTCTGGCCCCCACTTCCCAGGAAATAGGGAGACTTTGAGGCCTTAAAATACTTAGGAGAAGCCACCATAACTTTGCCCTTCTTTGCAGTCAGGGTCACATAAGAAGGGCCATGTAAATAATGGGTGATTATGGATCCTTTTATATTTTGAAGGACTTTTCTTGAATACTGTACTTGGGAGAGGGAGCCTGTCTGAGAAACATTTCTGGCATAGTTTAATCAAGCACATGGTATTTATCTGATGAATTATTTTCCATCCAAGTATGTATGACAATTGAATCAATATTTTCCAGATTTTCATGGATTGACAGTGTTTTAAAACATTGTTTCTAGTAATTTACTAGGTCTTTCATTTTACTAGCAGATGGCCTACTAAATTGTTTTATACTCTATCATCCTTTCTACTCATTACAGTGGAGAAAATGGTTATTAATTATATCAATTAACAGGAAATTATTTTTAAGCTAACTTTAGATTGCTTAATACTTCAGATTGCTGTGAATTATGCCAAATTGGGCAATTCTTATATTTGTTTGGTTATTAAAATGGCCCCCATATGGTGTCGCTTCCTCTCTTTCTGCTCCTCATCCATTTGAATCAAGTATATCTGATTTCATCACCTTGTTCCTTAGACCTTCACAGCCTCCCTGATGGGTCCCAAATAATGCTCAGCTGTATTAATTTGGTGATTAATCTCCTCCCCCCAAATCTTTGAAGCTGTCTCACCTAAGTAAAAAGTATAGCTAGGTGACTATTATGTGAGAGTAATGATTGTACCGGCATTGGTCAAATAAAGGGTACAAATTACAGCCTTCTTCATGTTGCTTTTCTGTAACTCTCTGACTACAGTGGGTCCTGATGTCTTCCTGGGTTTTGTCCCAAGTTCTAGTCATTGCTCCTCTTTTGTTCTTCCCTAACTCCCCCAAATCCAAACTATGCCTGTCTGAATGTCCAGCATCCAGTGTTCTGTCAACATCATATAGCATATAGTGAATATCGGTAGTCGCATGGATGGCAGAGTTCCAGAATGGGTTTCTACCAAGCATGGCCACGAGCACCAGGAATGGCCCTAGCAGAATCCAGCGAGGTCCCCTGCGGATGCCAGAGTGGTGTTAGGGCCACAGCAACAGTGTATGGGCAAAGGCTGCAAACAGGAGAGGGGTTTCTCAAGCCACACCAGATGCTACTCACCATCATTTTAAAAGAATGACATTATTAAGATTGATAGACTTGGGTGAACCTCATTACAATAGTTTTTACCTTTCATCTGACAATGGTACCCCTTTAAGGTGTCAGCATGTAGACTGAGTAACAGGCTAAGCAGACGCTTCATGACTCACTGAACAAGATGACCCCAGGAGTGTTATAAGTAAATCATTGTCAACTTGAAAACTATCTTCAGTGGTGTCGTGCTTGAAGACCTTGTCCTGTTTGATTTTGTCTTCTTTCTTACCAAAACTTTAATGATTTGGAGATAGCTTCTCAGAAAAAAATGCTATTAGGTATCAGTGTAAGAAAGTAGAGTGAAGAGGAAAATAACACTTATGGAGCATCCACCATGCCAGGTGTTATTCTGATACTTTATTTATAGTAGTATTGTTTAACAGTTACTTTTTGCAATAGTCATGTAATTGAATTTTATTGTCTCTGTTTTACATCAGAGAAAAGTAAGCACCAGAATTAAATTGCACATCTGGGGTGGCAGAGCCAGTAGGCAATGAGCCAGGTTTGAGCAGGGGTAGGATTGATTCCCAGGTGTGTACTTGTCTGCTACCCCAGAGGCTTCTAGGTGAAGGCATTTCAGGGTCTATATAGCCAGTTCAGTGGTGTGAGGTTGGTTTTTGCAAAGATATCAATCCTGGCCCAAAACTCCACTTCCAGTGTATGTAACACCCAGCCATGCTGCAGAGTGGCTTCAAGGAAGACACCTGTGCTGCTGTCACCCATCACTGACACTGCAGCTTGTGTCCAGAGGCTGGAACTGTCTACATGGCTGTTCCTAGGGTCCTGTAACAGGTTTTCCAGAGTAGATCCTGGTGTTACTTTTTGACTTTGCTCCTTCCTGAGGCCTCACCTAACCTTGGGTCCAGCTAAGAGTTAGATCCTGGGATCCCATTTCTGTACCCCAATAAGAATAAAATATGTATGTAGTGATGAGAAAAGGGAAGGTGCTCAAGACATGGAAACTGTACATGGTGGAAGTAGCTCAAAAGATGGCAGTTGTACATTTGACAAACATGCCTCCAACTCAGAGTGAGGTTGTATACCTGTGAAGGGTGTTCATTCACCCACACTTTGTCCAGAAGACTGTGAAGGACTTGCCTCTACTGATGATCTGTGTGTGTGTGTGTGTGTGTGTGTGTGTGTGTGTATGTGGTGTCTGTCCCTGGCCTTCATTACAAAAGACAAATCAGGGTGGCATTGCACTGGACAATCCTGTTATCCCTGGATTAGTTGTCATCCTTGAACACTGGAGGCACAGGGAGGTCCCTGGGTGTTGATTTCCAGGTGGCGGTAGGCTGAGCCCCTGCCATACAGGTATAAGGCCCCTGAACACTGTCATTTGTGCTGAGGGTCCCTCCTAGTTCTCCTAAGGGTGTGATATTTGGCAAAGTGTGTGTACTTGTAAACTCATGTCTCCCATGATTGGGAATTAAGCTATAATTATTTCCTAGTTAAGACTTATCCTTTTAAGGTGTGAAAATACCAAGTAAAAATTATTTTTGTTCTTGATTTTTCTGAATAAATTATAGGAAAGTATCTGTTACTATCGTGACCATCTAATGAAGCTGTATGAAAAATTATGCTGAGTTTTCATACGGTGTGCTCCGATTGAGTTGCCTTGCTAGTGGCGTGTGTTCCTTTGTTCCTGTTTGTTTCTCTGCTCTTTTATGCCAAGACTAAAAATTAACTCACTTGTTTAGAATTATCACTAAGGCTGCAGCTAATCACAGAAGGGGAGCCAGACCTTCAAAAGTGGAAGGACAAAGTAATTAACATGCGAACAAAATAGAGAAAGGTCTGCTCACGGCCTTCTGAGGCCAGGAAAATGAGCGAGGACAGCACAGTGTGGCAGAAGCGGGAGCCTCAAACCCCTGAGTATTCCTGGCCCTGTTACCGCATGGCTGGGAACAAAGCATTTTACTTCTGTTAGAAATTTATAAAATACAGACATTTATAAAATTTAGTTATAAAATAAAGACAATAGTAGTCAATCCCCATGTGAGCAGGAGTTCAGACAGGGCCTCGGGCACCCCAGGACAGCAGTGTGGCATAGAGGTTAGGGAGATGGGCGCTGTGGTTTGTGTCATGGCTGTTTGACCATGAGGGGGGCTAACCTCCCCTCTCTGAATCTCAAATTTCTTATAAATGCAAATAATATAATCATGGCATGGCCTCCTGAGGGTGCTGCAAGGTAAAATGCGATGATGTGTGTCTAAAATATTAGGCTAGTTGCCAGCACAGAACCCACATTCTCAAAAAAAGTGGCTGTAGTCAGAATTTAGCCAGAATTTGGGACCCTGATATATTGAAATGGGAGCCAGTGGGTTTTAGGCCTGGAGGATTCTGAGCAGCTCAGACACTGAGATTTTAAGAAAACTATGGAAGAGGCTTTTGCCCACAGGCTGAGCAGGGCCAGAGCACCCTGCCTTCTGTCCATCACCACCCCAGGGCCTCTGGAAGGAAACCGATGTAAGTCACTTTCCCCGGAACTATGTCATAGGGAAAGTGGGCTTACCATGAATGGAAATAGTGTTTCGGATGGGTGGAAGAGATATGGTTAGGGAATGTGGCTTTAGACCAGAGTGGGCCTGAGAAGCACAGTGTTTCAGGGACAGTGTAGCTGCAGGACATGCGCATGCATTCCCAGGTGCTCCTCCTTTTCTGCTCAGCATGACCCCCCGCCCTTTGCCTGTGCTGGAGAGTCAGGGTTGGCTCATGCATCTGCCTCTCTTACCTGCTTCAGGGCCTGGGGATCTTCCCACTTGTAGGCCCCCATTCTGGTGAGGGGCTGGTGGCTCAGAAGATGGGGATGGATGGATATGTAGCCAAGAAACCTAGGAGAAAGCAGGCCTTGCAGGGTGGGCATGGGGCCTCCTGCCAGCTTTGCAATGGACCTGCTTAGAGAATTGCAGGTGTTTGGGATCTACTGTCATTTGACTTTCAGACAGCTAACTGCTCTGGCTCTCTCGGGCCTAGGACCCCTGTGTGTGTGGTTCATGAATGCCTGAAGTTTCTGCACTTTGTGGGTAAGTGGGTAGAGCAAAATTTCAGTGTCTTCCCCCGAATTCCCAAAGAGGTCTTTGCCCTTGTGATGTCAAGCTTGAAGACCAGTCGCCTCCTCTAAGGATCTAATATAAAAGTTAACCGTATCTGGTCACATATTTGTCTGGGTTCCTTGGCCTGTAGGACTGGGAGATGGAAAATCATCTTTGAACATAAGTCTGAAAGCCAGCTGAACCTGAAAGACCAAACCAAGAAGGCCGCCAAGCTCTACGTTAAGAAAAAGATTCTTCTGGTGGCTGGAAAGCTAGCTAGGTTCCACTGAGGTTGCAGGCATGTTCAGAGAGGTGTGTGGCATCCTCTTGTCTTCCACATGCTGTGTGAGGCTCTGCATGTGGAGCCCCAACACCTGCCCTGGGTGAGCCGGAGAGGAACTGGGCCTTTCAACAGGAGCTGTTGGGGTGAGCTCAGCGCAGTGCTGCATGGGGTGGCCCAGAGCCTCTGCATGCCGGTTCTGGGCATTTTAGGCCACTTGCCCCATAATACTCTGGAAGGATACTGCTTAAAATGCTGATATCTAGGTTATGGCTTCAGGAGGTTTGGACTGGGAACTGAGAATCTTGTTTTTGAAAGGCCGGTCTCAGGTGGTTGGATGTTTGATTAGGGACTCTGGCAAGAGTTCTCAGTCTTGGGGAATTTTGCAGTTACCCCTGTCCATGTGCAGCCTGCGTGAGGCCCATGAAATCAGAATGT